TCACCGTCGGAATTTTTTTGTCGAATTAAAACGACGGCGATTTTTTTGTCTAAACATAACACAAAAATTAAAATATAGATTAGTAAATAACATACACAAAAATGAAACAACGACGTTTATTAGTTAATTTTCTATAAACTATAAATAAAAAAATCTAAACTATCAAAAAAAAAACTATAAAAACTATAAATAAAACTACAAAACAAATTCAAGTTTTCTAGTACGCTGTTTGGAAAACCTATCAATAACAGCATCAACATTTATCTCAATATTTTTATGGATATTGATTAGAGTTAACCCCACTAATCTGTCCTGGCCAATAAGAACACTTTGTGTGCTTTTAATTAGGTCGAACATATTATAAACGATAAATCAACATAACTAAAAGCATACAAAGTGTTCTTATATGTCGGATATTAATTAAAAAAAATCCTTTCATAGTCAATGACTATTTCAATTCTCGTATCTCGTCAAGCGTCAGGGGGGGGGGTACTGTCCCCCAGTACCCCCCCCCCTTATCTACGCCCTTGTCTGAACGATAACCTCTTAAAAATTATTTAATTCTGTATTTTAATTCATGAAAGTACAAAATAATAAAAAAAGTACATATTAAAAAACAAAAATGCTTTTTTGTCCTGACATGGGGTAATGCTTTACATTTTATTGTTTAATTTCAAATCGGTGAGTTTTATCAAAAAAACACAAGAGATAAAAAAGTTTCTAAACAAACTAAACTATCCAAATTAATTTTTTGGCATGCGTTTGATAAGATTTTTCTTTAAATTTCGTTAACAAGTATAATAGGGGTAGTTTATTTCAACCCCTTCCACTCATTCTAAAAAAGTGAGAAAATTACCAGAAAGTGTGTTTTCATAACAGTAATGCTTCCATAAAATTTCATTAGTCTATCTCTTTTCGTTTTCAAGATAAAAAATAAAAACATTATTTTTCTGCCATCTTTGTACCGCGATATCTCCCTAATGGTTGACTTTTGACCCAACGTTTATGAAGCAAACTACCCTTTATTTTGAACAAGGAATCACCCCCTGAAGTTTTTCGCATTTGTTTTGAAACACCCAGTATAAAAAATAGTTTTCAAAAATGAGGCTATCACTTTTAGATGCTATCACTTTCTTCATAATAATTATCATATAACAACGCTAAAATTATCTAAATGTTTAAAACATACCTATCATTGGTAGGTACTCTCATAAATAGCAAACTTACCATCGACTTTGAATCACTCTGTATATACAGGGTATAATAAAAAAAAATGACATCGGAATTGGCTTGGAAATTAAGATCGCTGTCATTTTATTATGTAAAATTAAATGAATTTAAAAAAATTAATGGTGAATGTCATCGATCGTCATTTCCAAGCCAATAAGACATCAATCTCTTTTTTTAATCATACAGTATATCATATACATCAACTGCCAATGTACTTAACAGATTTTTATTTATTTTAAATAATTAATTCTCTTTAAATACTAAAATTATACAATGTATTTAATAAAAAAAAAAGATCTAAAGAAATGTATAATCATTTTACAATTATTTATTGTAGCAAAATAGATGCATTAATGTATTTATTTATATATTTTTTGTTACGATTTGTGCTTAAAAGAGTAGGTACTTTAGAATAGAAAAATAACATAAAAAAGACTGCTCTATAGTTAAATCAGAGAAAATTAAATAAATCTTTTGAGTGAATTAAGAATGATAACACTCTGTATTCTAATAACATATCTTTAATGATTACTAAAAAGGTAAAACTATTATCACAATCATTTAAATAAAATTATAAATCTGTGTTCCTATATAAACCATATTATATTTACCTAATTTTTGTTTAGTTATAAAACAATGAAAGTAACAAAATACGAATAACACAAAAATATACCGGATATTTCTCAAAAGTGGCTCATCCCTATAACTTTTTAATTTTTTTTAGATAAAAAATGAGATTGGGTATGTTATTATGTGACATAAATTAGGATTGATTGACGTATTCAATTGTTTTTGGTCACTTCTTGACGACCTCGATATTTTTTTACTTTATTTGATAGAAAATGACATTCCGAATAGGACGACATATCATATGTCAACTTTTGACATTTTCGTATATGGTTTATTCGAAATTGTAACATTTGAAAAAATTGAGTTATGATAATACGATTTTTTTATAAGCGAGAATGTCAAAAATTGACATACGATATGTCATTCTATTCAGAGTCTCATTTTCTATCGAATAAAGTAAAAAAATACCGAGTGTGCCATTTAAAAATCAAAAGTTGTAGTCGTTTCCGGTGAAATAGGAAGTGACCAAAAACAATTGAATACGTCAATCAATCCTAATTCATGTCATATGCTAATATACCAAATTTCGTTTTTTTATTTGACAAAATAAAAAAGTTATAGGGATGAGCCACTTCTGAGAAACGCCCGGTATATTTTTGTTTTAATTTATATAGGCAAAAAAATCGTGTAAAAATGTGTCGCTGTATATAAATACTGGTAGGAAATAATTTAGTTAAAATCAAATTTATAAATGTGATAAATGGATATAAAATTTATATACATAATAAATAATTATAAGAATATGAAAACCGAGTAGTTTCAAGTCCCATTTTTTTTCTTTAGAATTTTTTATATCTTTTGTTAATATAACTATAATGTTTATATATGATTAAAAATGGACTTGAAACTCTGAAATCTGTAAATATTAAAGATAATTAAATTAGTTTATAATAAAAGAAATAATCATTTGTTAAACTATTCAAATGTATAGGAAGAAATAATTTATATGTGTCTTAATTTTTATTTAACTATGATATTCTAACAAAACGATATTGTATATAAGAAATTTAAATTTGTACATAGTTGTATATTCAAACTTCTGCCTTGTATATAATATTATATACTACCCTTAAAAGAAAATGTTTACATGCCCGAGTATTTTTTTGTAATTTATGTAAAAATGTGTTTATATTGTTGTTTTATTCATCCCTCAACGGTTTGTCAAAGGATTCAAAGAAATATAAATGTACATTAACTGAGTTATGTTTTATTAATCCTTCCTAGCCCTTTTAAAAGAAAAAATTTGAAAATAATGCATAGAAAAATTCATTCGGATAGATATGCAACTAAATATACACCAACCACAGAGCACATATTATATATTTTATCCTTAGACAAGGAAAGAGAGGGGACGGGTAACACGCATATTCTCCCGTGATCGGATAGTGAGGCCAAAATTCGATCGGCGGCCATACTTTGGTGACAAGATTTCGAGGTGACACCGAGCGAATTTTTATGTTTTTTGTGACAACTGTTTTGTTATAAATTTATAAACTGTGTTGTTTAGTACGGTGAGATGTTCAGCGTATGGCTGCAAAGGCCGAAGCGAGAAAAAAGTGGCTGGAATTACATTTCACAGGTAAAAATCGATACACAACTTTTGTTATGTGGTCATAAAATGTACATTTTTTTCATTATAGCAGTAAAAATATGTAAAATGCTTTTAATATGTCTTGTACCACATCCAAACCAAACTATTTTTAATAATTCCAAGTAGTATTTTCAATATCCTGTATTATAATTAATGTTTGAAACTATAAATATTGCTACTCAGACCGGATGTCACCAGTGGCGTAGGGAATTATAATCAGAGAAATACAATTTCCGCAATAAACATTTTTTTATATATTTTACATGTAAAAAAATGTATAAAGTATTGTTATCAAATATGTAAAATAATTGTAAACTATAAAAAAATGAAATATTCTAGTGATAAAAAATCTATATGTATAGTTGTTATATAAAAGTTAAATTTACCTGCCAAGATTTCTTGGGGGTGGACAAACTTTTGTGGTGGGCTACTTGTTACTACATACGTATATTTTTTTATATATTCTTTTAAAAAATTTGCTAATTTAAGTGTATAATGATACCGTATGATCGAAAAAAAACGGCGTCCAATTGGCTGGGAAATGACAATCGCTGACATTTCCCATATAATTTTACATATAAAATGACAGCGATCTTCATTTCATAGCCATCGCTGACGCCGTTTTTATTCGATCATACGGTAGTTTCAGTGAGTAATTAATAAAAATTTAAAAATAAATAAAATAACACAAAGCTGCTAGAATTGTTTTATTTTTTTGTGGAAAATTAGGATATTCTTATGATTGAAGGTAATAAATATTAAAAATTACATTATTCATTGAATCCGTACGCCGTACGCAAGTGTGAAAGGTAATGGCTAGATTCATTATTATACCGTATGGTCGAAAAAAAACCACGTCCAGCTGGCTTGTAAATGACGATCGACGACATTCCCCATATAATTTTACATATAAAATGACAGCGATCTTCATTTCATAGCCATCGCTGACGCCGTCTTTTTTCGATGTCGTTTTGTATAGTTTTTATGTCATTTTATATGTAAAATTATATGGGGAATGTCATCGATCGTAATTTACAAGCCAACTGGACATCGTTTTTTTTTCGATTATACTGTATAATAATGAATCTAGCCAATTCCCTTTACACTTGCTTACGGATTCAATGAATAATGTAATTTTTAATATTCATTTGTGAAATTGTAATTTCCAAACAAATAAGACGCCGTTTTTTTCGATCACACAGTATATATGTATATACACGTTTAAAATACATGTTATTACATTATTTTTTATTTAATTATACATTATACACTCGTTAATAAATAATTGTCTTGATAATCAGTCCACTGTGACTGTTAAATAAATTTTGCATTATCGACTTAGATATTCTAATATTATAAAGACTATAAAATACAAAACTGTATATGCATTACTCAAAAATCAACGATATATTAGTTTACTTTTTAATAAATATTTTGTACCGTCTAGGTACAAGCTAATTTCTGATGCTACGCCATTGGAGAATTTCGCGTGGTGACAACTTGCCTCACTTTCAGCTGCCGTGTTACCTGTCCCCTCTCTTTCCTTGTCTAAGGTCAAAAATAAATATAGGTTATGTAGATTTGTTTTCAAATCAGTGTTTTAATTTATTGTACAATCTGTTATAAGTGTTCGGTACTAAATATCCTGTAAATATTTTACCTAAGTGTATTTTACGTTTGTTCGTGTTATTTCGGTGAAAAACTAAACAATGTCGTCGGGTAGAAAGTGCAAAAACTGCGGTAGTTCGGACATTGAAGTCGACCCTGCCAGGGGCGATGCAGTTTGTACGAATTGTGGCTCAGTTCTCGAAGACAATATTATCGTAGCCGAAGTCCAGTTCGAAGAAGGAACTCACGGAACGTCTAGTGCAATCGGTCAATTCGTTTCGGCTGAATCACAGGGAGGATCCAACAAGTTTGGAGCATGTAAGTTTTACCCTAACTTTAACACCATTATTTACAATTAAACACGTTTTATTTTAAGCTTTTCATGTGGCTGGTGGTCTAGAATCCAGGGAAGTAACGTTAAGGAAAGCTAGAAATGGTATATCACACTTGGGAAACCAGTTAAAGCTGAGTCAGCATTGTATCGATACAGCTTGTGGATTTTTTAAAATGGCTCTATCAAGACACTTGACGAAAGGCAGAAAAAATACTCATATACATGCAGCTTGTGTTTACCTGAGCTGTCGAACCGAAGGAACAGCACGTATCCTTTTTGAGTTTAAAAGAGTAGTAGAGTGTATGTGAGGGAATTGAAATTGATCACCACAAGCTTATAGATAGTTTTTTATCCTTTCTTGAGTTATAACTCGTTATACAGTCTCAGGGCTTTAAAAAAAGCCAGTATCTGGGACAGTTTGACAAAGGTTAGTTCTCCATCTCCGATATCAGTTGTACCTAAGTTTATGGCACAATTCAATCTACTGAGCTATTCATTGGGGAAAAAACCCTTTGACAATTTAAAGATTGTTCTTAGTTACCTAAATCAAGAAAAATCTTGACGTTTAAAAGAAACACAAGTAACTTAAAGATGTTTTTTAATATATTCATAGGAGGAATTGGTAATTCCCCAGGACAAAATACCTTTTATAGTGTTTATAACCAATCCTCTGTAGAAATTCGTTATCCCCCCCGAACCCATTCTTTTAATTTCTCTAGAAACTTCAAACATGTGCTTAAATCTCCCTCCTACGTCTTTGTGAATGTGGACTTTTATGACCTTTAATGGATACATTATCACAGTGATTATAGTGCCAAGTAGGGCTCCGTGAATGAAGTTTTGAAAGTGCTTCAAATGTACTTGTTCGGATAGTGGTAATCTCTTCTGTAGTTCGGATTTCGTAATGAAAAAACAGGAGTTTGAGCAAATGTTTCTTAAGGTTATTGTGGTGCATCCTCTGTAGAATTCCTTGATTCCGTAGTCTTTTGCCATGACCTGAGCTACATGAAACATGTTTTTGTACTGATGGTTGTACTGGGACATCACCAAAACCATCTGTATTCGCTCGAAAGGCATCAGAATTGCCTCAAAGGTTCCAGCCAAGAAACTAGCGCATATTTTCTCAAGATACTCGTTCATTTCGAATTGTTTCAGTGGAATTGTAGCGGCAGAAAACATGCCAAACATGGTGGGTAGAGTGAGGCATTTCTGGATCATTGGAGGCAAGATTCCTCGGTACAATATAATGTACCCTTCTCGTTTCATCATCATGTAAGAGTCCACGGCATTTCGGTTCTCTAGAATTTGTCGGTAGATGAGTTTGGTGATGGGAAAAGTTAGTCCAATGGTTAGAAAGGCTGATCCGAGGCCTGCCATCACTTCTTTGACTGGTTTTCTGTATTGTGTTAGGGTATGTTCATTATTGGACATCTACATGGATTTTGATTATGTTTTGCGAAATGTGAAGGCGACATTTTTGTCAGGAATTGTGTCAAAATGACGTGGATTCGTGGAAAATGTTAACACAATGATTACTCTGCTTTTTTTCTATGGTTAATTAATCTAAAGTGGGGTCCACACGCAACGATTTGTCGTACGATGTGTTTGCGTCGACGAAATGTTGCAAACATAGGGTGGTTTGATAAAAATACTGTAGAAAATGCCATATGTAGTATAATACCCCCAATATCTGCGAATTCAATAAAAAATTTTGAATTATTTTAATCACAAAAAGTTCATTTTTTAATTCACCATCTAACAAAAAAATAATATTCAGGGTGTTCCATTAAAAAAAACAAAGAAAAATTATTTTCTATTTTAGAAAGTTTGGCGTAGAATTTTGAGCACCCTGTATAATTTAAGATTACGATATTTATAGTAAAGTAAGTACAGGACAACTATAGTAAATACCTAGTATAGTTTCGATTTCAGGACATTTCTTGTATTTTTAATAATTTTTATAAAAAAGACTGAAAAATATATGTATAGTCTGTAAAACGAATAACTTTGAATTTGACAGTTCCCGCGGGCTTTTTTGGTGTTAATTTTATTAGGTTAGCAACTTGCGGCCATGCTGACGCAATGCCGTCTCTAATAGAACAGCCTCAGAGCGAGATTTATGACGTCACGCTAGTTAGATACTACGGATTAATAAATATGTTGTAGAATACATGGAAAACATAATTATTCCTCGTATTTTTGGTTTGTATTTTAAAAATGATATAGTTTACATGATGAATATACATAATATACAGTTAATAAATACAATATATATATATATATATATATATATATATATATATATATATATATATATATATATATATATATATATATATATATATATATACCTATTTATAGTAATAAATACTTTGGCAGATAAACTATGAACCATACAAATGCAGCAAATGTTTTACAATATAGCTGAAATCGTACTCTATAGTCAATGTAGATAGTTTTTGTGTTAAGAATAATAATTTAAAAAAATATGTGGTCATCTTTTGACCACATATTGAAGTTTATATTAGTTTATTAATTGCAGTAAACATTATAATATATAAATAAATTTTGTGAATGTAAATAATAATACATCACTATTAGTAGATATTGAATGTTTTTTGTTAAATTAGATCGATTTTCGAACCCCAAAATTTAAAATATATTTTGCATTTTACCCATTATCTTATGTACCACCTATTCATTATTTGTATATTGTAAAACATTTGCTGCATTTGTGTGGTTCTATAGTTTATTTGCCAAAGTATTTATTACTATAAATGCCGTATGTATATTATATTGTATTTATTAACTGTATATTATGTATATTTTAAGTAAACTATATCATTTTTAAAAAACAAACCAAAAAATACGAGAAATAATTATGTTTCCATGTATTCTCCAACATATTTTATTAATCCGTAGTATCTAACTAGCGTGACGTCATAAATCTTGTTCCGAGGGCTGAAGTTCTATTAGAGACGGCATTGATCTAATATTTGGAAATGTCAAAAGCTGATGACATTTTACTTTTGTCAATTATGACATTACGTGTTGATTTTTGCAAGAAGAGGACGAACTGTCACTTGTTTTATTATTTTCCTTTTCTATTTCACGAAAGTAAAAAGAGTTACCTATCTGATTCATTCAGGCACTCAATTTAAAGAATATCAGTAACTTTTTTGATAGAGGGATTTTATATTTGCCATGTTGGTAAAAAATTACGGTCAAAATTCAAAGTTATTCATTTTATGGACTATAGTATTTTATTTATTAATATCTCTGAAACTATTAAAACATATATTTAATATTACCTTAGGATTATGTAAAGTGGCCAAAAAGGAAGCCCAAGCCCAATCCAGCCACTCTGTGGAAGTTAAGATAGTTTCCTGAAAGATATCCATACTCTAGGTTTGCACCTAAATTAAAGTTTCTACTTTTTTTTTATTATTTATGATCTTGTATAAGCAAGTTTGAGTTTTTATATTTTAAATTTTTGTATCTTAGCGGAAAAAACAAGAGCAATTTATTTTGACACATGTTGTTACGAATTTCCAACAAACAGGACGCGTTCAAATTATACAGGGTGTTTCAAAACTAATGCGAAAAAACTCTAAGGGGTGATTCCTTGTTATATTAAAATATTAGGACATGGTAAGAAATGGTGGCATAGCAAAAAAAAATATTTCAAACCCAATGGTTTCCTTAATTGACTTCTTAGATTTACTCATCGATATTAGCGACGTGCTACAGATATGCTGCTATGAATTGGGACGGACATACTTGAAATTAACCCAAGCCTTGTGTATAAATGTACCATCAGTAGGTAAGTCGATTAAATTATCTACAATAGTTATTTATTATTAGTTATAGTCCGTCATACAATTAATTAGTAGTGGGAACTATCGAATGAATACTATCGAAACATTCGATAGTTGCAATTCATTCGAATAATTCGATAGCTAGTAAGAAAACATTCGTCGAAAACTATTCGAATAAAAATTATCGAATAGATGCGTCATCTGCCTTGAAATATTGTATTCTAGTAATTCGGTAGCAAAAACCATTCATTTATAAAATTCATTTATTCGTCAGGATCGATTTTAATAAAATATAAACTGGATTTTAGTTGTCGTCCGGCGACGTAGGTTTCTTTCCTAGAAACCCGACAGCGGTCGGTGGCAATCATAGACTTAAAATAAAATATAGACTACACTATTTACATCTCAACGCGGACAAACAATCTTTTTTGTACACATATTTACTTCTGGGTACAGTCGACCGAGCCTTCCTCATCCAGCCTATGTTGTCACGTCTTTAATATTATCAATATTTTTTTTTTCTTATATACACATATATTGAGATATTAATACTACAGTTTAATAAAGTAGGTTTTAATATTCCATAGATGTATTAAATAGTCCTTATACTACTAAATTATAAGTCGGATATTGTTTAAAAAGGATAAGTTCTTTACAATATGACAACACCGATTAGAGGCGAGTGAGCCTATTCATTCATTTATTACCTTGTAGTACGTGTTGCACGTGTGCGGTAAAGCTTTGTTGCCGCTATGTCCCCGGCTGTATTAACGCATTTTCTTAGCTTGTAGTCCTTAAGTGTTTATTTTATTGACTTTTTCTGTTCAAGAACTATAAAATATGGTTCGCCAGTGCCAAATTTGAAGAAATTTGACTTAAATAATCCATTTAAGTCTTGAAACGACTTTTGACCGGTAGGCAACTCTCAATTTACCCATTGGGAGTCAGTGGCGTTGTTGTAGAAAGGCGCTTATTTAGATAATATTTTAGTAAAATGTTAAATCTGAATTTTTTCTCTTACGTTACATTATTTACTTGCTTACATTGTAACAAAATCATAATTATAACCCTGTTAATAATTAATAATGTTTTTATTAAAAATATATTCCGGTTTATTCTAAAATTATCTTCAGAATCTAAATTAACATACAAGAATTTTAAAATGATATTACATTATGAAACAATATTTTTTAATATACCGGGTCGTCTCAAAAGTGGCTCACCCTTATAACTTTTTTATTTTTTCAGATAAAAAAAAACAGATTTGTATGTTAGTAGGTATATGATATAAATTAGGATTTATTGACGTATTCAATTGTTTTTGGTCTCTTCCTGTTTCTCCGAAATGATTACATCTTTTGATTTTTAAAGGCACCCTCGGTATATTGTTACTTTATTCGATAAAAAATGACACTCTGAATAGAATGACATATCATATGTCAACTTTTGACATTGTCGCTTAAAACAAAAATCCTATTTTAAATTTCAATCAGGGTGCCATGGTGTTGTTAAAAACACTAAGTTTTAATCAAGGAGCCTTGGAAAAAATAGTTTTGATCGTCTAATAGGTTTCTGTGTCTTGTCTAGGCCGGTTAAAAAGATGTACAAATCGTATTTTAATCATACATATGCTTCATCTTTTTTCAAATGGAACAAGGGTGACTCATTAGCATATTTGGAAAAAGCATTTTTTTATGAATATATTGATACCACACACTTGGTATTTCGAGTCAAATTGTCGTTATGAACCGCGTGTTACAATTACAATTAAACCATATGCGAAAATGTCAAAAAGTTGACATATGATATGTCATTCTATTCAGAGTGTCATTTTCTATCGAATAAAGTAGATATATACCGAGGGTGCCGTTTTAAAATTAAAAGTTATAGTCATTTCCGGTGAAAGAGGAAGTGACCAAAAACAATTGAATGCGTCAATCAATCCTAATTAATGTCATATACTAACATACTAAATCTTGTTTTTTTTATTTGAAAAAATAAAAAAATTATGGGGATGAGCCACTTTTGGGACGCACCCGGTATAATAAAGACAGTACCGAGTTAAATAAATGTAGTTTTCATTTTATCCACTTCCTATCACCTTCTTTGCTTTAATGGAACAGATTTATGTTTTCGCTAATTTACATAATAAAGACATCATCTAACCAGAAAAAAAAAAGGTACAACGATCATATTTTTTTCTCTCCTGTCGCTGATTTTATTATATATCTGTGGAATAGATCCTGTTTTGATTAATATTAGAGGTTGTAATGTTTGACTAAAATTAATAATTTATTATTAATTTCAAAAATTACACAATTTCGATTATAAAATTTCTTCTGTAACGTGTATTTTATTATTTTTATCCTTTTGGATTCTAAGACGTTTTTTTCTAAACTTTTTATTTATAAAAACCTGTCCTAAATCTTAATAAAATATAAAAAGTTTAAATACGATATATTTTTAATTTTAATTATAGCTTCATTAAAATAAAAAAATTACCCGGCTATGATACGGAGAGTTTAGGTGTACTTGAGAAACGAAAGACAGTGTTGTGTTTCTCGGCAGAGTCGTCAGGGAACGACCGTTACGACAGAGACAACCTATCTATCGCTCGTGTCGCACTCGTTATAACTTAAAACAATAACAAGACATTGTCTGACCGCATGTTCCAGCTATTTATGAATGAGATGCTCAGTCTATATTTTATTTTAAGTCTATGGTTCGTTCGGGCTAAAATGCTCAAGCCTGGACGCACCTTTAGGAACAATACTGTTTTTGTCCTCTATTGATATAATGCTGAAAATCTCACGAGTTACATGTCTCAGTCTACACATATTAAATTACATAGACGTAGGATGTAGAATATTCTGTTATGAAACGACTGATTGAATAGGAGGCATCGCGGATTTGAAAAACATGGAAATAACGACGTTATCGTGTAGTCGGGGTTGGAGATTTTATTTACTCCATTTACCACACCAGTATTTATTAACGAATAATCCAAGAATATTTTAAATGCATTATTTAATATTAGAACATTTAATAAGTTCATGGATAGCAACTTCGCAATTGCATAAAATAAAATAAAGTAAACATACTCTTAATATATATTTCCGATCAAGTATACAGAGGTGGAGATCTCTTAAAAGTAATAATATAAAATTCTGAAAAATCACTAACAAATATAACCAAAATAATGAGTTCAACAACTAGGATTTCCTACTAGGATTTATTACTACATGTTTAAGCTACGATAAAATAATTTCTTGTTTTCAAAACCAATCAACAAAATAAAAATGTCGTGAATAATTAATCATCAAATAGAAAACAAGAAACCATTTTTTTATTTCATCGAGTTTATAATGAATTAATGTCAAAGTTTGGATTGTATTTCACAGCCAGAGAAATAAGTAAATCTAGAGTAATTCAGAAATATATATGTATATGTTAACAACAACGTTAACATTAGGGATTCTCTATGATTACCTATTTCTCTGAAACTTCATATATATGACAACGAGAAAATAAAAATAGAATAACCAAACTGGTTAGCGAACTTAAACGTCTACATTTGGCTTACAAGCGTTTTAAACTTAAAAATACATACATAAATTAAAGAAAAGTCCGTAAAAAATGAAATAAACAAACAGTCTTTTATGAAAAAACTAAATCACAAACGCACTGTATATAAATGTCACGTAAAGGGTTCAATGGGCAGTCGAAAATTTCAATAAAAAAAAGTAATAAATAATTTGAAAGTCTAGTCCAAATCAAAGGGGCAAAATATATCCTACTAAAAAGGATTGTTAGTATTTGGGAATTATTATTATAATGGCAAGTTTTTTTTTGAAAAAAACATCTATATTATCTCTTTAAATTCACGATGTAACCTTAGATCATAATATAACCTACGTGGATAAATAAATTCGCTTCATTTTTGTTGAAAACATCAACGACACTTGATGGTCTACCGTCTTTGTCTTTGACACTGACTTGATCGATTGTTTTTCTTCCTTTTGTGCATATACTTCATTTTTTTTAAGAAAATATTTAAGATGAACGAGCGACAAAAATAAAAATTGTATGTGCACTACGTGCTATTAAATTGTTGAAAAAGTAATAAATTAAAAAAACATTGTAACAAATAGTTTTTTTACGTGTAGCATATAATTTTTTACACGTAAAAAATAGATTTTGCGTGTTACAAATAGATTTTTTACATGTAAAAAATAGTTTTTTGCGCGTTTTTTTTTACGTGGAAAAAATAGTTTTTTTGCGCGTAAACATAGTTTTTTACACATAATAGATAGTTTTTTACGTGTTAAAAATAGTTCTTTGCCTGTAACAAAAAGCTTTATACGCGTTAAAAATATTTTTTTACGCGTTAAAAATATTTTTACATGTAACAACTAGTTTTTTACACGTAAAAATAGATTTGGCGTGTAACAAATAGTTTTTTACATGTAAAAAATAGTTTTTGCGTGTAACAAATAGTCTTTTTACGTGTAGCAAATAGTTTTTTACACGTAAAAAATAGATTTTGCGTGTAACAAATAGTTTTTTACATGTAAAAAATAGTTTTTTGTGCGTTTTTTACGTGTAACAGTTTTTTACACGTAAAAAATAGTTTTTTTGCGCGTAACAAATACTTTTTACGAGTGAAACGTAGTTTTTTATACGTAATAGATAGTTTTTTGCGTGTTAAAAATAGTTCTTTGCCTGTAACAAAAAGTTTTATACGCATTAAAAATATTTTTTTACGCGTAAAAAATAGTTTTACATGTAACAAATAGTTTTTTACATGTAAAAAATAGTTTTTTGCGTGTAACAAATAGTCTTTTTACGTGTAGCAAATAGTTTTTTACACGTAAAAAATAGATTTTGCGTGTAACAAATAGTTTTTTACATGTAAAAAATAGATTTTCGGCGCGTTTTTTTACGTGTAGCAAATAGTTTTTACACGTAAAAAATAGTTTTTTTGCGCGTAACAAATATTTTTTACGCGTAAACATAGTTTTTTACACGTAATAGATAGTTTTTTGCGTGTTAAAAATAGTTCTTTGCCTGCAACAAAAAGTTTTATACGCATTAAAAATATTTTTTTACGCGTAAAAATAGTTTTATATGTAACAAATAGTTTTTTACATGTAAAAAATAGTTCTTTGCGTGTAACAAACAGTCTTTTTACGTGTAGCAAATAGTTTTTTACACGTAAAAAATAGATTTTGCGTGTAACAAATAGTTTTTTACATGTAAAAAATAGTTTTTTGCGCGTTTTTACGTGTAACAGTTTTTTACACGTAAAAAATAGTTTTTTTGCGCGTAACAAATACTTTTTACGAGTAACCGTAGTTTTTTACACGTAATAGATAGTTTTTTGCGTGTTAAAAATAGTTCTTTGCCTGTAACAAATAGTTTTATACGCGTAAAAGTAGTTTTTTACCTTGAACAAATAGTTTTAAGTTTTATACACGACGCGTCACTACATTTTGTCACGGCCTTGAATTTTTATTCCCAGCGCGCGTCCAAAAAATAAAAATTGTTCTAGAGATAGGTATATAGAAAAACGTATTGATGTACTCAGAGAAACAAAGTTTGTTTATAACAACCTAAAACATATACCGTGTCGGCAAGAAAGAGTCTTGTATCGTTATTTACATGTCTACAAGAGTAAATCGCTATGGCAGGCATGAAAGTTGGAGAGAGAAATAAGTGTTTATTACATAAGCGAGATGCTTTATTTCATACGTTTGGGCAAATATTTTTCTCTTTTTATCCATTACATTTATTGTATTGAACAGATTGACTGTACTCTTTGTACACACCAAAATCTTTGCCGACTATGTATAGTTGTATAGCTTTATCCACGAAATTTGTACAATCTAAGGACCCAGGAATTCTAAAAATTAATTTCACAGACATAAAAATCCTTTTAGGTTATTTTCCCAAAATTACTAAATAAGAACTCTGTAATACATTCGCCCCTTTTTAGAACATCACTATTCTCACGAATACTTTTAAACCTCGAATTAGTGTTCAGTGTTCTTCGTGCGCCGGTCCGTAGAATATCAGCTCGGGAATCTGTCCTCCTTGGACACCTGTTCCGTTCGTGCTCTCCGAGGAACACTGGAACTGGAACGTAACTTGTCCCACGGTGACCTCGCTCATTCCTTCCTGTCCGAAATAACTCAATTCACCTCCGTCCAGCACTGCTGAAGCCGTGTAGAAGGTTTCAGGTTCCACCTGTCAAATTAGTTAGGTTATTTTATGTATAGTAACTCAAAGACATCTAATTAAGGGGAGACACAACAAATATTTATAAAACACCAGTTGTTTTACAATCATACATGCTTTAACGCTTTTATATTAATTAAAAAGAAATGGGTGCATAAATATGACAACGCTGTTGAGTATCGTGTTCATTTCTGTCTCTCCAAAAAAATCCTATACGAGCCCTAACAACTATATGTTGGGACAAGGTCTTTTTTGCAATAAAAATAGTAATTTGTTAAAACGACTTAATTTATTTTGTTTATTATTCTAAATTCAAACATTACAATATGATCTAGACAATTTTACTATATTTTTATAACTTTACAAACAAATCACTTTTGATAGTAGCTTATTTTGCCAAAATCAAGCCAAGTTTGCTGACAACTATATATTGGGACAGCACAACAAGAAATTTGTTTAATACGGAGTTACATCACCTTTCGCCTTAACAACTGCCTGAACTCTAATGGCATTGTATTTACCAAAGATTGGCACATTTGAGGAGAAAAATTATCCCAAATTTCCTGCAGTTTTGTCCGCAAATCAAAAATTGTTCGTTGAGGGCGGTTTCTTAAATATTGCTTCATTTTATGCCACACAGTTTCTATAACATTGAGGTCCGGACTACTTGCAGGATAGGATAGAACTTTTATATTATTATGACCGAACCAATTTTTAGTTGAATTTGCTGAATGGCACGAAGCTCCATCTTGTTGAAAAATATAGTTTTCGTTTGGAAACAATTCTTGAGCACTAGGCAAAAGTGAGGTCTCAAGTATATGTTGATATTTTTGGGCGTTAACAGTGCCATCTATAAAATTTAATTTGCCCAAACCTCTTGCTGACATGCAACCCCAAACCATAATCCCCTTAGGAAATTTAACAACCCTCTTTAAGCAATCTTTATGATAGTTTTGCGTGTTAAAATAGTTCTGCGCCTGTAACAAATAGTTTTATACAACGTAAAAGTAGTTTTACCTTAAGGTAAATAGTTTTAAGTTTTATACGACGCGTCACTACATTTTGTCACGGCCTTGATTTTTATTCCCAGCGCGCGTCAAAAATAAAACGTTCTAGAGATAGGTATATAGAAAAACGTATTGATGTACTCAGAGAAACAAAGTTTGTTTATAACAACCTAAAACATATCCGTGTCGGCAAGAGAAAGAGTCTTGTATCGTTATTTACATGTCTACAAGTAAATCGCTATGGCAGGCATGAAAGTTGGAGAGAAGAGAAATAAGTGTTTATTACATAAGCGAGATGCTTTATTTCATACGTTTGGGCAAATATTTTTTCTCTTTTTATCCATTACATTTATTGTATTGAACCGATTGACTGTACTCTTTGTACACACCAAAATCTTTACCGACTAATATGGATTGTATGGCTTTATCCACGAAATTTAGCCTGAAATCCTAAGGACAGGAATTCTAAAATTAATTTCACAGACATAAAAATCAACTTTTAGGTTATTTTCCCCATTATAAATAAGAACTCTGTAATACATTCGTTCCTTTTTAGAACATCACTATTCTCACGAATACTTTAAACCTCGAATTAGTGTTCAGTGTTCTTCGTGCGCCGGTCCGTAGAATATCAGCTCGGGAATCTGTCCCTCCTTGGACACCTGTTCCGTTCGTGCTCTCGAGGAACACTGGAACTGGAACGTAACTTGTCCCACGGTGACCTCGCTCATTCCTTCCTGTCCGAAATAACTTCAATTCACCTCCGTCCAGCACTGCTGAAGCCGTAGAAGGCTTTCAGGTTCCACCTGTCAAATTAGTTAGGTTATTTTATGTATAGTAACTCAAAGACATCTAATTAAGGGGAGACACAACAAATATTTATAAAACACCAGTTGTTTTACAATCATACATGCTTTAACGCTTTTATATTAATTAAAAAGAAATGGGTGCATAAATATGACAACGCTGTTGAGTTTCGTGTTTATTTCTGTCTCTCCAAAAAAAGTCCTATATATTTATTTCTGTATTTTCGGTCTACAAGTGGAGTGTTTTTTTTTATTATCAACAATCGTAAAAAGATATTTATTTAAATAATTTAAGAATCTAAGAATTCTATATTTTTTAATGTGTTTATTTTTTTTGATGCCCTCTAACGGCCAAACGAAGCACTTGTATAGAGGTAAATTGTGTCCAATGAACTTATTTTGTTTCCAAAATTAAGTAGTAGTTCTATATCCAAGGAATGTTGGGACACTCTGTATCTTTACGTGGATAAGTAAAGAAATATTGGAAAATCCAAAGAGACATCTAACTAAAGATACAACACTCCTTTTGTTTACTATCGTACATACTTTAACACTTTTATATAAGTTAAAAAGAGATGAGTGCATAAATATGACAACTCTGTTAAGTGGCGTGTTTGTTTGTCAACAATCGTAAAAAATAATATTAATTTAAATTTTGGTTTGATTTTGATGTATAACTTTAAACCTAACTTAAAAACGATTTATTTTAGGTATAGGAACATGTATAATCAAAAAGTAATGAACTGAAAAACCTTTTCACTAGTGAAATAAAAAAGTGGGTTTCTATTTGAAAAAAAAAGATTTATGATAATTTTTTAATCGCTCAATTCCATGGCAGCTGTCCCAACAAGCATTTTTTGTTTTATAAGTGTGTTAGGAAACTTCCCAACACCATATTATACAACCTAAACGCATCTAGAATGGTTGTCGTGAGTTATTGGTAACCATTATATAACACTTATATGCCCTAAACGGTCCATTTTATAACTGTTCCTATGGTAACCCTTAACACTCAAAGTGTGCAACCAAAGTCCTGAAAACTTTCTCAACACCTTTATATATCCTATCGAGTTACCGCTATAAAACTGAAAAAGGGTATATAATGGTTATATAGTGGTGTTGAGAAGGTTCCCAGAGACTACCTCCATAGAAATATCGCGCATGCGCGTTTTTTGAAAATATACTTGTTTCTTTCTGACTAACTACTTTAATATTCTCTTTTTTTAACATAAAAAGTTGTCTTGCGCAGATAATCCAGACCAGAAACAAAAGAGATAAAATGACGCCATCCCTGTCATAGCCTACAAAAGCGTTTGCGTTATGCAAATGACTTTATAGAAATTACTGGCTTAATAAATTCTATTGTGCCTATCCAAAGTACTAAATACATATACGATATTAAATTTACTGTGTGAAAATCAATTTTACCTCCAAAAAACACATGCGCCCCCAAGCGGAATTATTTAATAGATCATCAATATTGGTAGATGTAGTTTGAATGAGGTTTGGATTATTCCTATTTTTTTTAAACTCTGAAGAACCTTTCTTTTGAACCTTTATTTTTTTATTATTTATTATAATACCGAATTGCTTTGTTTGCTAATATATTATTTGTTTTGATTATATTAAAAATTTGAGGTTATGTCATTAGGTTTGATATTCGGCAACTACAGGTTATATAAAGCATGCAACCATTTGAAAGGTGCAAAAAAAACGATTTAAGGGAACAATTATATAACTTGTAGTGTTATTGGTGACATAATGGTTCTTAACAACACCTTTAATTATATAGTGTATATCTTGCGTACCTTTCTAACACCTAATACCAGAAGTTGAAAAATAAAAAAAAATAAATTAAAACCAAAAACGGTTAATGTTAGATATAGTGTGGTTGATATCAAAATTCATAGAATTTTACAGAGAATTTAAGTATGTAATAAAAAATGGGGGTACCCATTTAGAATAAGAAAGTTGCTGTCAACTTCCGGTATTTCCGGAAGTGCCGCCATATTGAAAATATTTTTAATCGATAGATCTCGTTGTAATAAAATAATATGCAAAAAATCTCCGATCTAGATTCTAATGCACGCTCAGCCTGGGACACCCTGTATAGTAATTATTGCTCTACTATAGTAATATACATGAGAATTCAAAATGTGAAGTCCATAAAAATCCTATAGGTATAATATTTTCAGTAAAGTTTTTTTTTATAATAACCTACTTAAAACTTAAACTAGGGACACCACTGTTCCACCTTATTGCAAACTAAGCATTGATGAACCGATCTTAGAACCTTAAAAACCTTCCTTTGTAAAGAAAAACAGTAAAAATTACTTGAAAAACAAAAAGTTCACAACCGCGCAGCAACACTGCTAAACATAAGTTGAATGAATCTATCAAAAGTCAGTAAAAACAATAGAAAAACCATAGAGACCAAACGGTCTTCCTGAAGCAGCGTTGTCACAGTTACTTTCCTGATAAATTTTAATTTAATTTAATTAGAAAACTAAAAATAATCTCAAAGACATACTTTGTTTTTAATACAAGCCGTAGATCTAACGCAATCTGCAGAAATTTGGCATCATCGATTTTTGATGAAAACAATGTCTGATCGAGATAAAATGTAAATAGTCTGTCACAGAAGAGATATCTCTTACCTGAATGGGATTGTCGAAATAAACGTGAAACGTATTGCTTGATCCATCCGAGAAGAACTTTGTGTCGTTTTCCGCTAAAACGCGGCCTAGACGTTTCAGTTCGATTCTGACAGCATAGTCAGCGGCGCCGCCCGAGGATCCGTACAGCCCGAAACCCACCACGAAAATGCGGTGATCGACGGAGAACTGGATGCTGTCGCAGCGCCCCCTGTAACGCCACTGGTTCGAGCGGTAGGCGCACGACTGGAACCGATGGCAAACCTAAAGAGGAAGAAAAAATACTTAAATCCTCTAGCTTATAATATACAATGTGGGGCATCCGTAAGGAGGGAAACGAAATTCTCTGTTAGCGAGCAATTCATGGGCGTGCTATAAATATTTTAAATAACATTACTTGTACAGGGTGGCTCGAATTCGACGCCCATCATTGGGATTTCGGAAACCGTAAGAGATACAGGATCGGTTAAATGGAGGCAAAGTTGCGCAATTTGATGCTCAATAAAATGCCGTATTGCATTTTGAAAAATTCCGAATACTTCCGAATATATTCGAAAAAAAATTTTTTGGGAATTTTCAATTTCATCGGGAATTTTCAATTTTGTTTTCTATTGTTTCCTGGCTTTATTTGTTAAGATAACTTAAAATGAAAAACACATTTTCATGGCCACTTTTTGTGCTCTATAACTCTGTGTGATTAAATATTGACTCTGACGTTTCGGCTTCTGGCGACCGTCATCAACTTAATTTTTTTAAATACGGACCCGATTTTTTTTTCAATTTAATTAAATCCTTTCATCACTATTAAAACACTATACTAAGGGCTGGCAAAGGTTAGTCTTGGGTCGGAATTTCCGTATGTAAGAAGAGTACAATGCGTTTATAATGTACTGAACAAAGAGAGGACAGTAAACACGTTGCCAAACGTATGAAATAAACCGAGAAACTGTGCACATTGCTAAGAGACGTGGAAGGGTATACAACAGATGTGTCGCAGTTGACCGGTCGATATCAATCAATACCTCTGTCAGTACTTAAAGTTCTAGAGAAAGGTGTACGTCATGCTTTGTTTCACGATTTAATTACGTCTCGTGATACTTAATTTGTTTATTTATACTACGAGTCGTTGTAATTTTCCCTATAGCTTGATTTTTTTTAAAGTACAAGCTAAAAACACTTGCATTTTTGGTAAAAATAAGTGGAATTGAGTGGGTGTTCGATAGGGGTCGCGCTATTAGAACTCTGAATTGAAAAATCGATATCTCGAAATCTATTAGAAATAATAGATTGTAGTTTTTTCAAGAACTTTGTTAATATTTCTGCTGTATTTTCTTTGTAGACAGAATGTGAACATCTTTATCAATAAAAAATTACACGATTGCTGAAAATGGCTATGCTCTAAAAGTAAATGGATGGATTGTTTACAATTTTTGAATGGAAAAAACAACCTTATCTATTTTTTCTTATGTAAACATATTGTAAAATATCCGATCTTGAAAATAAAGAAAGGTTTCAATATCTAAACTGGTTCTTGAGTTATGACTTGTGATGTGTTAAAAAGTTGAGTTTTGAAATTATCGCGATTACAGACGTTTTCTCGTTATAAAAAATATGGACACCCCAACGATATCCTTATAATTCCATTTCAGATGCTCAGAAACATGTCTAATGATTTTATCTAGTTATCTCTTGAAAAATAGTCTTTTAAAAATAAGCGGTTTGCGATCGTGATTTTACTTTACTTGATAGGGAAAGGCGTACCGGCAACGCCGCAACAGCACACCGTCGCGTTTCTCTTACTCCGACTTAATAAGATCCCTATGCTGATTTACTTACACACATGTAAATGCCGACCAAAAGTACCAGCATGGTATATAGTCACTTTGATATTTGCCGACGTTTCGTACAGCAAATTCCATCACCAGAATGTTTTATGCAAAAAAAATAAAAATGCAATACGGCATTTTATTGAGCATCAAATTGCGCAACTTTGCCTCCATTTAACCAATCCTGTATATCTCTTACGGTTTCCGAAATCCCAATGATGAGCGTCGAATTCGAGCTACCCTGTACAAAAAGTCCGAATATATCAAATCAGTTTTATTTTTTTCAACGTTTTTCCACGTAAATGACACATAATCTTTATAAAAATTAAAAAATTAAGATGAAAAACAATAATAAAATCTAGTTTAGCTATAACGATTGCACTGATCTCCAAGCTCGGTCTACGTATATACGGGCGTACGCTCACTGCAGTATATACGGGCCACTGCCGGCTAAGATCACACCTGCAGATGATGGGTCTGGTGGAAGACGCCGAATGCCGACTCTGTATGGAAGACGATGAAACAATGAAGCACGTTATGTGTGCCTGCCCTGCTGGGAGCAGAACCAGGTTTGAGGGGTGTGGCAAAACCAAAGACATTATAAATATAGACCGAACATCTCATTCATAAATACTCGTTGGTAGTGTATCAAACATTCCAATGTGTCAAACAAGGACAGAAGAGGCAGAGAAGTCTAAAATTTCCGACCCCGGCAACTAGGCGCATTTGGATTGTTCTAATGGCCAGTGGCGTATCGTTTTTTGGAACGAATTTAATTAGTAAAGTAAAAGTAAAGTAATTAGTAAAATGTTTACTCCATATTAATATACTACATTAACACGTCAGATGAGTTTTGTTATAAGGTCTAATATAATAATATAATATCCCACATATACTTATGTTGAAACGTTAGTAGGTAGTTTTCGAAAATCGCTCCAACGTCGATTTTCAATTTAAACTTTCAGTTAATTCTATATAAACTTTCAGTTACTTTTGAATATTTACAGGGTGACTCAGGCTTCCGAAACAGTTCAATATTAGGTTTGGTGGTTGGTGACTTTCAATTTTTTTTTTCAGAATATGGAGGCAATGGTAAAGCACATTTTAGACATTTTTGTAAACATAGGGGGCCGGAATATATTTTCAAACTAAAGTTGTAGATTTGCCATTAAATTTCCATTCCAGAAATACCTAGGGTTGCCACCTGTCCTTTTTTGAAATGGAAAAACTTGTCCTTTTGACTTTTTTTTACTTAAAAAGTCATTTTTATTTACGTATTTTCCCTGAGAAAATTACCTACAGCAAACAGAAATATTATTTTCGTCCAAATTTAATTAGAGATGTTATAAAACTTATAAACACATTTTTCTTGTTTAGAATAGGCAACATTATTTAGAACTTCCCGTTTAATCTCAAATGATAATTTAGGTTTTAGTTTTACCTTTTTTGATCTTAAAAAGAACTTTTTGAAATTAGTAATTAGTAACGATTTAGTTAGTTCGCTCCCTGTAAAGTACTATGTAATAGTTGTTTAATCTTGTATTATTAATAACTTCCTATACCTAAAATCAATATTTAATGAGAAAATTGTGTTTTTTTGAAAATATAAGACAAGATTTGACTTTTGGTCTTCTTCTTGTATTATGATGGCTCTGATACGAGGCAATTACCTTTTAGTCTCTCAATAGAAGGCATTTATCATTAAAAGTATCAAATCTGTGTGCTACAGTATGGGATTTCTGTTGCATAATAATGAATATTACGTTTATTTACAAATCCATTACTTTTAAAGGTAGCTTCATCAGACAATCAAATTTTAATTAAATGTCCCAATCTTCATGAACTGTATTAAGCATATGTATTGCGGTTTGAATCACCCCGAGAATCACCTTGTATGTTGACAAAAATATTTTGAAAATGTGCGTTACAATGGCCATCTTATGTAAAAAATTGAAATAAAAATTACAAACCTAAAACGTAATAGGTAAACAGCTTTTTTGGAGGCCTGGGTCACTCTGTATATAAGTATGTATAAAACTAGTAGCCTAAGAATTATTTACAGTTCGTCCCATTCTAAATAAAAGGTAAACACACCGTACAAATAACTCTAGGAAGAGGTATTTGTACGGTGGTAAAAAATTGTTTAAACGAGGCCGAAGGGGCAGATATAATAATGCAATAAAATGTAAAAAAGGGCGGGTAAACACCTTTGTTTATTTGTTGAGCAAAATTCCTTTAGAATATCGTATATAATGACCAAAATATGACGCAATTTTAAGAAAAAAAATGTCGCTTTCTGGCTTATAATAAAGTTTCAAATGCAACGTTTATATTCAAATTTGTTATGATCTAAAACAGTTAAGTAGTAATTGAGACGAATTGGTTACTACGTTCTTGTTTTAATAGCTCAAAATTCAACAAATATAATTAGAAATTATTTTAATTGTGAGAGGCTCCCTTGTGAGACGCCTATGTACGGCGATTACGGCGCGGCGGAAACAATACCTACCTGTGAAAAGACAAATTCGGGTAATTTGAGCTTATTTTTCCACACATTTGACACTGTCGTACCATATTGAAAATTCGCAGATTCAAAAGTACGTTAAACAAAAGCAAAACCTACTGAAAAACACTGAAAAGTTCACTTCGGACTTGATTCCGACTTCAAACACACCGTAAGCTAAACGTAGTACGCTATAACGAACCAAGGGCCGTCGCGAGAGGTGGTGGGACGGACGGCTCATTTCATTCTGGAAGACTAGCAGCGACGTTGCCAATAGTTCTAGACGTTTCAGCACATTAAACAGTAAACATGTCCTTTAATAGTAACGTATATATCCTCTGGTTAATAACATACTATTACGCATGCTTCTTTAAAAATAAACTATTAATTTAATTAAGAAATTGAGATTTATTGATATCCGGTGAAGGTTTTAAAGTCACCTTTTCTGCAAATCAAACTAAGTAGATAGGCGCAAATTTGAGACGTGGCAATGTCGCCTTCTCTATCTCAGTTGGTTTTTACAGTACGTAGTCAACCTCCGATTGTTTGATCGGGTTAAAATGCACAATGTGATATCTGTTCTTCCTAAATCTATGGGCAAAACCATGCTAGACCTATCAGACCTAGGAGGCATATCAGCCTCGGACATAACAGCCTATCTTAAAAGGTTGGGTCTTGAGGGTGAACTTTAATACTCTTTTTCCTTTAAAGGGTTTGTAGAACTGAGCCACAACAGGATCTCGCGGCTGCTGTGGAGGGTCCCATCTGGGACTCACACTTAGTAAATACAGAATACATCTCATAAAATGTCTTACTAATTATGAAGTTGGTATAAATGTTAAATAAAATTGCAAGGTGAAAGTCGTGCTTACCTGACTTTTCAAGCCCGCTCTGGGCTTGATAGGGTACTGTAGACTGGGCTTGTTATTGGCGGTGAAGTGAAAAAAAATATCGATGGTTTCTTGTTGGGTTAGGATCCCTTTTTGGGCGGCTCCGTTTGCGAATTCTTCCAGCGTCATGGTCGGTATACGGATGAGGTACAGGGCGTTGCCTAGAACCGCCCGTTTATTTTGAGGGGTAGCTTCTAGCTCTCTGAAAATAATTAGTATTTTATTCTATTCAGGTAGCTGCATATTGAGTTATATAAACTTTGTAAAAAAAAGCTGTGCGATAAGTTATTACTCTATATTTTGTTTCTATGAGTACATAGCATGTATTTTTCTACTTATTGCTTTCCAGAACAAGGTGAACCTATTCTTCTCTCTGTGCCGTGTCTTTTTTAAAAAGTTTTTAGTTACAAAAGTACCGAGATACGAGGGAACCAAAAAATGCATCAGTTTAAAATTCGCCCTGTATTTTAGGAAATATGTGTACTAGGACAAAGTTGTGTGTAGCTTTAGTTTTATAAAAAAATAGCACAGTGTGAAAACCGCATCATTGTACCTCTACTAGTGATGTGTCGGTATTTGAGTAACGCGATTTTGGAGCGGTATTTTTTTGTAACGTCGTGTCGCGCTCCACAACGAATCAGAAACCTGTTACTGAAGAACGACGATCATAATGACGACAAAATTATTTATAATTTGCAAATAAATTATTTATAATCGCACTTGAAGTTAGCTCGAACCGTAATAACCGCATAGCGACGTGTTTAGCTCCAGCCGTCGCGATTTCGTCGGTCGCCAACAGTAGTATCTGGAACTGGTATGTCCGTAGCGCCGCGCGATCTCGATCGGGACGTGTTCGCTCCAGCCGTCGCGCTCCTAGAGTTGTAGTTCCCTGTCGCGAACAGAAGTAACTGCTGTAACTGGGCATCGACGCTCGACCTCGGCGGCGACCTACTTGGCTCCAGCCGTCGCGCTCCTAGAGTTTTAGTTCTCTGCCGCGAACAGAAGTAACTGCTGTAACTGATTATCGACACTCGACCTCGGCGGCCACGTACTTCGTTCCAGCAGTCGCTGGAGCGCTTCTAGAGTTTCGGTTTTACCTGTCGCGATTTGGTCGGTTACTATTGGTGTTGGTGCTCCTGTCGCTACGTTACTTTCGAAATAGCGATTTTTGGTATGTACTAGGCATGGTATAAAATAGTGTTGTTTGAAAGATGAAACGCAAAAGCAAATAAAATAAAATAAAAATATTTTATTTGCTTCTATACATTTATATAAGTTTTATTGTTTATATCTATTTTTAAGGTTAAGCTAGACCAATAAATAATTTTTTTGACAGTGGTTTGGACAGGTGGATACATATAAATATGAGCCGTTCATTTGATTTAAACAAAAAATGGATAAAGAAAAAAAAATAACAAGAAATGTCATCGTTTTTCTAAAAATGAGATAGATTGGCTATACACATTTATAAACTCGATATTTGGAAAATGAGTGGCGGATAAAAGTTACATTAATCTACAAATATAGATAAGTTAGATATATTTTTTTTTTGCGAGGACCGCAACACTTTCGAAGTCGGAACCTCTGTTACAAAATCGCGGTATTTTTCCGGAACGGTCGCTATTGTAATGCGACTCACGTGGAACCGGTATTCCCATCACTAACCTCTACACATAAACATGGGACACCCTGTACAGTACTAGAATTGTTTATTATAACTGTCTTACCTTCTTCCACACTCTGCTGCGGCCCAATTTAACGCAGCTTCCAGCAAATTCATCTCTTTACAGTTCAGCGTTTCCCTGCCTAGTACTGACTCCAAAGTCGACATGTCAATGTCAACAAAACCTTCAGATTTTAGTGCCATTTCAGCCTTAAATAAAAACAAAAAGTCACCAGTTAATTCCTCACATTAAAATATTTTTTTTTTAATATATTTTGATTAGTATTTTTTATCATTTTAGTTATTTTTTTGGTTTATTAGTTACGTTTGAAAGATTTTTATTATATTCTATCATACTTGGGATTAAAGTCTGACCAACGAGTTTTAAAGAACCTTTTGACAGACGACATGACCAAAAAAATTACAGAAAATTCAATTTACCTATGTACTAAAATGACAGATACAAATATCACTGTCAATGTATCCTCTCTCATTGGACAGACTTTTAGTAAAGGTTAGGTTAAAGGGTGTTAGAAAAAAGACAGTAATGTATACAATCAATTATATTAGCAGACTTTTATATATTATAACAAATTAAAAAAGAAAGGAACATCGTTTTTTATTTTTGTTTTCAAAATAATATCATTTAAATATTCTAGTTTCTATACCTATATCAAAAAGAAATATTACAGGCTTTTTCTGACTAGATTAACATTTTTTTTTAAATAAATACACATCAACATACATACACTTCAAAAACTAGTATTGCCTTTCTTATTTTTCTTTAATAATGTTTATATAATATGCAACAAAAATATTATTGGAATGTTTGTTTTATACTAATTTTATTATTCCTTTTTTGATGTTTTCTTTATAATACTTCTAATGAATTATTTTACACCAGCCATTGTTCTTACTACATAATAAAATACTAATAACGTATTGTTCAGGATAATAAGACACTTCTTCAAAACAATTATGTCTGTTTTCCTATATACAATGTTTTTTTTTAATACAAGCACTTATTTTTAGAGGTTATACTAAGGGCTGGAAAAGGTTAGTCTTGGGTCGAGATTTCCGTATGTAAGAAGACTACAATGCGTTTATAATGTACTGAACAAAGAGAGGACAGTAAACACGTTGCCAAACGTATGAAATAAACCGAGAAACTGTGCACATCGCTAAGAGACGTGGAAGGGGATATAGCAGATTTGTCGCAGTTGACCGGTCGACCCAATCAATACCTCTGTCAGTACTTAAAGTTCTAGGGAAAGGTGTACGTCATGCGTTCAGCTTCACGATTTAATTACGTTTCGTAATACTTAATTTGTTTATTTATTAACGAATCGAAAATAAGTGGAATTGAGTGGGTGTTCGATAGTGGTCCCGCTATTAGAACTCTGAATTCAAAAATCGATATCTCGAAATCTATTAGAAATAATAAATTGTAGTTTTGTCAAGAACTTTGTTAATATATTTCTGCTGTATTTTCTTTGTAGACAGTACGTGAAAATCTTTATCAATAAAAAAATTACACGATTGCTAAAAATTGTTATCCTCTAAAAGTAAATGGATAGATTGTTTCCAATTTTTGAATGGAAAAAACAACCTTATCGAATTTTTCTTATGTAAACTTATTGTAAAATATCCGATCTTGAAAATAAAAAAAAGTTTCATATATATAAAGTGGTTCTTGAGTTATTAAGCCTGTTATGTGTTAAAAAGTTGAGTTTTAAATTATCGCGATTACTGACGTTTTCTCGTTATAAAAAAAATGACACCCTAACAATATCCTTATAATTCCATTTCAGATGCTCGGAAACATGTCTAATGATTTTATCTAGTTATCTCTTGAAAAAAAAGTCTTTTAAAAATAAGCGGTTTGCGATCGTGATTTTACTTTACTTGATAGGGAAAGGCGTACCGGCAACGCCGCGACAATACACCGTCGCATTTCTCTCACTCCGACTTAATAAGATCCCTATGCGATTTACTTCCACACATGTAAATGCCGACCCAAAAGTAACAGTTGCCAGCACGGTATATAAATTTGTAGTATTTGTTGAACACTTTCAGTTGAACAAGTGATATTATTTGTAATATAGAGAAAAATTATTCCATAGAGCACTGTCACAGAAAATATAGATTATATTCTATTAAATATAAAATCGCATATTTTAAAGTAGGTATGTAGTTTAAAAATGCGGTAATATAAAATTTTAAGGTTGATTTGTCAAAACAATGTAGACATTCTGACTAAAGCAAATTTATTGTTATTGTTTAAATAAAATTATAATTAATTATAATGGCGCGTAATTTTAAGGAAAGTACAAAGCAATCCAAAACGATTGAAAATAGTTGACTATGATGATTTTGCTCATTTGGTTGGCAATATATTTGAGAAACTCGAATGTGTATTTATCAGCTGTTAATCCTAAAAACCTCTAAAACAGTATTGCCAATTATTGTTTCAACCATTGTGGATTGCACTGTAGCATTTCAACCAATATTAAAAGCAAACATAACCTTCAAAATCTGTGAGGCTCAAGCTTCATTAAAAACCTCAAAATTAGTGGTTTCAATTACCGTAGATATGTGTTCCTCTAATTTCAATACAAGCATGGAGAACATCAAAATTATTATAATTTTAATTAGTAGAAACAGTTAAAAAGTTCTAACTTTTTCCACTAATTTTGAATTATAATTGAAAACGCCATTGCGCATGTGCGTGTATTGTCATTTTGGCCTTTCATTATCATCTCTGAAGAGAAATAGTGGTTTAAAATAAAAAGTTCGCAATCAACTTTCAGTGACGATGGCGACAGCGCTGCCAGATTGTGATGGATTTATGAGATGAATCTTAATTTGAAAGTGACAAACAATATATTTATTATATTGTCAAGGTGTATGTGGCGCTAAACTGTATTGCTGGTTGCCTACATTGCCGCAACGTGTCAAGAAACATGGCGCATTCACCAAAAAGTAAAAGACATTTTTAGGCGCCATCTCTTAATCAAGTCGACAAGTAAGCGAAACAGACAATAGAATTTATTGGTCAAGATAGCGGAACAGTATCGAAAATTACAGAAGGTTCGAGAAACAGTCAGTAGGAGTATATAAAGGCCCGCGCTTGGCAGTTGGACCAGTTTGAAGTTTGATAATACCGAGCTTTAAATTGAGAATTAATTGGCGAAGGTGCCAGAACCGTTAGAGTAATAGTAGTTGCATAAATCGTGTTGTAAATAGTATAAGTTGTGTGTACAGAGTGAGAAAAATAAATTCGTTAAGTATTTTATCGCGAGTTTAAATTAGTGGACCCACGGAATCCGTAACAATATCATTATTTAAAGATTTTTACGTTTTATTTTTAATAACTAATAGTTTAGTAATTACTTGATTTATTTCTTTTGTAGCTTATTTTACTTTATTATTATTAAGATTATTCTAAGCGTTATTATGGCGTTATCAGGGAAGCTACAAGCTCCTTACCTCGACTGTTTAAATGCTTCGGCAAATTTCAAGAAATGCAATACAAAAACTGGAAAATTTAGTTCTTAAAAGAATTGTTTGTGCTTAAAAGTACAATTTAACAAAAAAAAAGACTATGAAACACAAAGATTCAACAACAACACGATATTATACAAAATAATGACTGACACTAGGATAACTGGCAAATAATAAACGACAACCTTGCTGAAATCGGCGCAATGTGACCAACATGGCGATAATAAAATTCGGTTTAAACTAATTTTTGCAGCTCTAATCTAAATAAAATATCTGTTACAATCATTTGCTCTATAAAGTAAAATAAAGAGCTGCTCGGTACCTATCTTAAATTATACAACAAATTTAAACATTTTTGCCAAAATTTCATTTAGTTTGGTTTTTGGTTTATAGATTTTATTGTCAATGTAGATATGATTGATGACGTGCATCGGATAATGTTTTGCGATTACTATAATATTAAATTGATTTTTTTAACATTGTAAATGATCGCAAATTCGTTTTCATAATTTGTTTCAACATAATTGAATTCATTAATTATTCATTTTACTAATTTTGAGGTTTTCAATGAAGCTAAATTGAAACAAAAACACATCACATCTATTTTAATCGCGCTCTTCATACAACATAACCTTCAAAACATACAAAAAAACACTAGCTAGTTAGGAAAGCGTTGACTGCAAACAGGCACTAAAACTGAAATGTCTTTTTTTGCTTTCATCCTCAACCTTACCATCCATTTCTTTTGTTTTATCGCCACCAAAATCAGAGCCCCTCGTCAGATCCAAACAACTTAAGCTATGTCTTACCTGGGCATCGATCACTTCCCAGCAACGCTGCATCAGTTCCGGCTCCTCGAAGAGCCTGGACTGACTCAGCAACAGACAGGCGTTCTTGGCCGTGAGGCTGGTTTCGAGATAGTTTACGCAGGCGCGAGCTAAGTGAGGGACTATGTACTTTTTGGCGACGTACAGCGTTGCCAGAACGGTGTCGGCTTCCAGGTGGATTTCGTCGCAGTAGAGGTATCTGGAATTAAGTTTAAAGGATGATACAGGGTGGTCCAGAAAGAGATACAAAGGAAGTGAAACGTCGATATTATCTTATAATTAAAAGAAAATATGTAAAAGTAATTTATTATTTGTAATAAACAGTAATTTTATTATTTGCATTTCTGATATAATAAAATTAAAATAAACAAATAGTTTACAGGACGTATTGGAAATAAAAATGCGAAATTTATGGCGAATGATCTTTCAAAATGTTTACTTGATTTTTATTGAACTCAAAAACAAATACACACTAGTTTTTTTTATTCTAAACTGTGAATAAAAAAAAGAATAAAACCAATTTTTACTTAATTAAAGGCTATAGCCTCCTCTACTGTTCATTACAGTCCTACATCGTCTCCATGCTCCTAATCAGGTTGTCGATCTCTTCCTGAGGTACAGCCTACCACGCTGCATTCACGGCCTGAACCAGATTCCTACGAGTTTCACGAGGCATACCCATTCTCAAAATTATTTTTAAAATTCTTCTTTGGACCGCGTCCCATACGTGCTCGATTGGGTTGAGGTCAGGAGATGGTGCCGGCCAGGGTAAGATGTTTAACTGATGAGCAATGATAAACTCACTAACCACTCTGGCTGTATGAAACCGTGCATTGTCGCATGCATGAGAATTAAGTTTCTCTCAAAATCAGTGGCATATGGTAACACGACACAGGCCCTCAAGATAAATACCGATAATGTGATTCCTGTTGAGAAAAACCTTTCAAGGAAAACGAGATCGTTTTTTCGGCCTAACTGGACTGCTCCCCAGACCATAACTGTTCCACCTTGATAAGGGTCATCATCATCATCATCAGCCAGCCCTTTGCGTCCACTGCTGGACATAGCCCTCCCCCATTTGCGCCCACTGTTGCCTATTTTGTGCGCTCTGGATCCAGTTATTGGTGATCCTTTTTATGTCGTCAGTCCATTGTGTTGGTGGTCTTCCCTGGTTTCTTTTGTCAGCTCTCGGTCTCCATTCGAGCAGTGTTTTGGTCCACCTACCATCGGTCACTCGAGCCACATGTCCAGCCCACTTTCACTTGAGTGTAGCGATTCGTGACACAACGTCGATGACGCCTGTTCTCGCACGTATATCCTCGTTGCTTATATGATCCCGCAAAGACACTCCAAGCATTGATCTTTCCATTCGTCGCTGTGCCACTCTGAGCCTCTTAGCAGACGCGATGGTCAGTGTCAAGGTCTCAGCTCCATACGTCATAACCGGTAGTACACATTGGTCTTGAAAACCTTCGTTTTAGGCCGATTGGCTGGTCGAACCTTAAACAAGGTCCTTGATAAGGTTGCACTTCCTGAACATGATGCAACCGATTAAGATTTCCTGGTTCTCTTCATACCCTAAAGCCTTCTCGAATACGGATGAATTCCAAAGCGTGACTCATATCCGTGAAGAGAACATTGCCCATTGTTCATTCGAGCACTGAACATGATCTTGAGCCACAAATATCGTACCTCTCGATTTCCTCTCGTTATGGGTTGAGCTCTCCAGGGGCGTCTGTTTCTTAATTTGACCTCTCTTAATCTAATGCGAACAGTGTCAGGACTAACTGTTACATTATGTGTTTTCCTGGAGAATTAAACTAGCTCTGGTGCTGTAAGAGTCGGTCGGCTTCGAGCATTTAATTGTAAAAAATGATCTTGCTGAGGGGTAGTAATGCGATGTCGCCCTGTGTGCCTTTCAGCAACATCGCCACTTTCATGGTAGCGTGCACTTAATCGCGATATTACACTTTGCGTGGTATTTAATGATCTAGCTACGTCGACTTGGCGCATTCCAGCTTCGAGCATACCCAAGGCCCTTAGCATTTTGTCTCTGTTAAGATGTCTACGCTCCATAATGTCGTTTAATACTAAACATAGTTATTTGAATGAATTCTGGCCAGTTATCATAAAAACATAGCCAGTACAGGTTAAATTCGAACAATTGATGCTAGGTGCTTTTTAAACATTTGACAAAAAATGTACAAACACTTCTCCCAAATTTAGAAATAACTAGTGTGACTACTTCGTTTCTATCGAAGTAGAAAGAATTGGCCTACAAATATGTGGTTGTTTATTCGAAACATTTATTTTTAACTTTAATAAAATAATATCCCTAGATTTTTCCGGTGTGTGTATTTCACTCTATTACAAAATGGGCACCATATTCCTTCAGCTAGGAAGTAGAATATCGATTTATTATTAAGTGGTCGTGGACAAAATCATTTAAATACCGAAAGAAAAAAGGATTTAAACCATAGACTTAAAATAAAATATAGACTGAGCATCTCATTCATAAATAGCTGGAACATGCGGTCAGACAAATGTCTTGTTATTGATAAGCGCTTCATTAACACAGTGCGACACGAGCGATAGATGGTTTGTCTCTGTCGTAACGGTCTTTCCCTGACGACTCTGCCGTGAAACACAACACTGTCTTACGTTTCTCAAGTACACCTGAACTCTCCCTATCATAGCCGGGTAAGTTTTTATTTTAATGAAGTTAATAATTAAATTAAAATATATCGTATTAACTTTTTTTTAAAAAAAAAAAAAAAAAAAAAAACAGGTTTTTAAATAAAACTTTAGAAAAAACAATTTTTAGAGTCCAAACAGGATAAAATAATAAAATACATTTTTTTTTTTTTTTTTTTTATATTCGAAATTAGGTAATTTTTGAAATTAATATAAATTATTAATTTTAGTCAAACATTGACAACCCCTAATTTAATCAAAAGAATCTTTTCCCACAGATTAATAGAATCGGCGACAGGGAGAGAAAAAAAAAAATGATGTTGTAGATTTTTTTCTGGTTAGTGAAGATACCTTTTATTGAAATTAGAGAAAGACATAAAGTAAATCTGTTTCCCATTAAAGCAAGGAAAGGTGATAGGAAGTGATAAATAAAAACTTACTTTATTAACTCGGTACTGTCTTAATTATACCGGGTACGCCTCAAAAGTGGCTCATCCTCAATAATTTTTTATAATTTTCAAATAAAAAACAGAAGAATTTAGTATGGTTAGTTTATATGAAATAAATTAGGAATGATTGCCGCATTCCAGTTGTTTTTGGTCACTTCCTGTGTTTCAGCGGAATGACTATAACTTTTAATTTTTAAAACGGCACCACCTCGTATATTTCACTGTTCTTGCGATAGAAAACTGACACTCTGAATAGAATGACAATATCATATGTCAATTTTGACATTTTCGCGTATAGGTTTTAATTGTAATTGGTAACGCGCAGGTTCATAAACAACAATTTGAATCGAAATACCAAGTGTGTGGTTTCAATATATTCATAAAAAAATCTTTTTCCCAATATGCTAATGATCCACCCTTGTTCCATTTGAAAAATTGCACATATGTATGATTAAACAATACGAATTTTGTACATCTTTTAAACCGGCCTAGACAAGAAGCCACGAAACCTATTAGACGATCAAAATATTTTTCCAAGGCTCCTTGATTAAAACTTAGTGGATTGAAAAAAAATGGATTGAAATTAAAATAAGATCTGTTTTTAAGCGACAATGTCAAAAGTTGAACATAATGATATGTCATTCTATTCAGAGTGTCATTTTTTATCGATAAAAGTAGCAATATACCGAGGGTGCCTTAAAAATCAAAAGATGTAATCATTTCGGTGAAACAGGAAGAGACCAAAAACAATTGAATACGTCGTCAATCAATCCTAATAATTTATGTCATATAACCTAACTAATACAAATCTGTTTTTTATCTGAAAGTAAAAAAAAGTATAGCGGTTGAAGCATTTTGGAGACGACCCGGTATAAGTTAAAAAAAATATTGTTTCATAATGTAATATCATTTTAAAAATTAAAAAAAAAAATGTTATTTTTAGATTCTGAAGATAATTCTTAGAATAACCGAAATATATTTTTAATAAAACATTATTAATTTATTAACAGGGTTATAATTATGATTTTGTTACCAATGTAAGTAAGTAAATATTGTAATGTAAAAGAAAAAATTCAGATTTTACAATTTTACTAAATATTATCCTAATAAGGGCCTTTCTACAACAACGCACTGACTGCCAATGGGTAAATTGAGAGTGCCTACCGGTCAAAAGTCGTTTCAAGATTATGATATATTTAAGTCAAATTGTCTTGCAAATTTTGGCCACTGGCAAACCTTTTTTATAGTTTTTTTGAACAGAAAAAGTCAATAAAATAAACACTTAAGGACTACTAGCTAAGAAAATGCGTTAATACTGCCGGGGAGATAGCGGCAACAAAGCTTTACCGCACACGTGCGACACGTACTACAAGTTAATAAATGAATGAATAGGCTCCCTCGCCTCTATCGGTGTTGTCATATTGTAGAGAACTTATCCTTATTAACCAGTATCCGACTTATAATTAGTAGTATAAGGACTATTTATACATCTATGGAATATTTAAAACCTACTTTATTAAACTGTAGTATTAATATCTCAATATATGTTTGTATAACCCAGAAAAAAAAAAAAAAAAAAATTTTTTTTAAAAATTGGGAAAAAATATTTTTTAAAAAAACCCGTGAAAACAACAACATGGCTGGATGAGGAAGGCTCGGTCGACTTTACCCAGAAGTAAACATGTGTCAACAAAAAAAGGTTTTTTGTCCGCGTTGAGATGTATAGTGTAGTCTATATTTTATTTTTAAGTTTTTTTTATTTAATACATTTTTTCCTTATATTGCAAATAAATAACTTCTTATATGATATTTAATTCTTTCAAAATACACACAATAATTATTGTACAATTTTATACTTACTTGAGCAACGTGAGGAAAGCAGACGGTTCTACATCCGGTACTTCTATTTCTTCCTTACACTCGGCCAAACCTCCGTAAAACATGGCATAAAACACCGAACTACCCGTTGCAAGGACGTACTTGTGCGCTGGAATGACCTGTGTTGAACCTGGGGATCCCACAACAAACCTAGACACGCAAAAAATGATCAGAATTATTAATATAGTCTGTGAAACGAATAACTTTGAATTTGACAGTTCCCGCGGGCTTTTCTAGTGTAAATTTTATTAGGTTAGCAACTTGCGGCCATGCTGATGCAATGCCGTCTCTAATAGAACAGCTTCAGAGCGAAATTTGTGACGTCACGCTAGTTAGATATACGGATTAATTATTTTGTAGAATACACGGAAAACATAATTATTCCTCGTATATGTAATTTTCTGAATTATATCGACAACTATTTTTTTTCATATGACAAAACCACTGATGAAGCTATAAAACGTTAGTATAACGTTTTTTTTAAACCAAAAAATATAATGAAAAACCAAATAATACTTAATCAGCGTTTTTCCCGAACTAAATCCCAAGAAAATCAAAAATTTTTTTAAAAATTACTTTTATATATAAAATGACAGCGATGCCTTTATTTAATAGCCATCGCTGACGCCTTTATTTTCTATGATTTTGTATTGATTTGCGCAAATATAATTTTTCGACCAACATTGATGCTTTCAAAATATACCATATATAATTTTGTGAATGCAAATAATATATATTACTATTATAGATATTGAATGTTTTTTTGTTAAATAGGATCGATTTTCAAACCCCAAAATTTAAATATATTTTACATTTTTTTTTTTTTTTTTTTTTTTTTTTTTTTTTTTTTTTTTTTTTATTGTAAAATATTTTCTGCATTTGTATGGTTCATAGTTTATCTTGCAAACTATTTTATTAGCTATAAAAGGTAATATATATACTATATAATATTATATATATATATATATATATATATATATATATATAATATATACCATTTATGTAATAAGTAATAATATATATATATATATAATTATAAATATATATAATATTATATTAATATACTATATAAAAATAAAAAAAAAAAAAAAAAAAAAATTCTTGGGGATAGCGGTCTAGAGGCAAAAAATTAAACAATTTATTACAAACGCCAAGCTTTCGGAAAATATATTTTTCCTTTTTCAAGGCTAAAACATATCACAAAAGTCAACTGAAATATAATATAATATTATATACAACTTACGTGTAAAAAGTTTAATTATAAAAATGGAAGAACTGTCACTTGTTTTATTATTTTCCTTTTCTATTTCACGAAAGTAAAAAGAGTCACCTATTTGATTCGTTCAGGCACTCATTTTAAAGAATATCAGTAACTTTTTGGACAGAGGGATTTTATATTTGCCATGTTGGTAAAAAATAACGGTCAAAATTCAAAGTTATTCATTTTATAGACTATAATAATCATAACAAATATACAACGTCATTATACCTTATATCTGCCATTAAATCATTATTAAACATGGCAGCATTTCGTTCCCTAACCGTAGGCTTCAGGGCTTGCCAGTTAGGGTCTAGGGTACTTCCCTGGCCCACCGGTGAGATCAGAGGCGGAGTAGGTGGGGGAGAACCAGGGTTACTTGCTGGCTGCATTACCTAATAAAAACGATTTTTTTGAAAGGGATTTTCTATGCATTGGCCCGTAAAATGCGAACATTTTGGCAGATTAGGATTAAAAAATTTAAAATTGATAAATTATTGTGTACAGGGAGCTTTTTAGTAAGTTTATAAATTGACAAAAATTGTATTATTGATAAAAAATTTATTCGAGGGATTTTAATGTTTTTAAAATTTTATTAGTAATTTTTTTATTAGCAAATTTCAAGTATAGGAAAATCAATAAAAATTCGCGTGCACCTCATGGCCAAGGACTGTTCGATCGCGTCAAATCGCCGCTGTCGTAGCCGCCGTGGAATGCTACGTCACGCGCTGACCAGCGCTCCACAGTGCGGCGGATGGTTATACTAGCGGGACAAAATCTCAAGAGCAATGTTTGGGACTTAAAATCCAAGAACGTAGCAAATGGTCTAATATATAGCATGGTACAAAGAATACAAGGTATGATATTGCGCAGGTTGGTCGCTACGTCACAGGTGATAACAGGCGCTATTGGTCAGCACGCTCCGCGCGCCAGTTCAAATCGTCAAGATATTGTTATAAACCTGTTTTTTTTGTTTATGTACTGTCATTGAATTATCGCTAAGCAAGTTACTGTGGAGCAGTGCATAAGGAGTCGGGCTAGGAAGTGAGAGACCGGAGTTCGAATCTCGGCCGGAACATCACTTTTTATTTATTTTTTAAATACTGTTGTATTCTATAGTTTATTTTTGTAGTATAAAAAAAGAACTATTTATTCTGTTATTTTTTAATCTCCGTTATTAATATAAATTGATTGTTAGTACAATACCTCATTTAATATAAAATAATATTCTACTTTTTGAAATGTATCGGGCCGTAATTGTACCTAAAAGTAATATATTTTTAGTGATATACCATATTGTAAACTATTTAATATTTCAGTCACTTAAAAAGTTAATTTGCAATGAATAATTGCCTACCATTAAAGGAAATTTGAGCTATATAACCCTTGATGGGCATATTCTGGGTATGCAAATACTTCCTTTAAATTTTGGGTGTCGTTCAACCGATTTATTCTCAAAACCAGAAACATCTACATATAAAAAGAAGCACAGGTCACTAATTATAATAAACTTCACCCTTGGTATTACTTCCACTAATTATAATAAACTTCACCCTTGGAATTACTTCTATCACAATTACAAAACGTTCATCTGCATTGGCATTTTCTACTTTTCGATGGGAAACAATAAACTTCCCAACATTTTTTAAATGATGTAACAATTCCTCTTGTGGTTACTTTTCCATAGATATCCTCATCTCTGTCCTCATGTGAATTCAGAGGCAATAAAATGAAAAATTATTTACCATAAACATCGCAAACTAAAAACTTAATAAACAATTTTATACCGAATATAGAAATAAATTTAGTATTTTTACCTATTATCGTCCAAATCCATGTTAATAGATAATTATTATTTTTAAATATATTTTTGGAACTGCTGGTTTTAGTAATTATTAAATTAAACGAACTAAAAAATCTTAAAAATAAACAATTCTTAACCATAACCCCAAAAATGCAGATCTCCTGTCAACTTTCTTTATTTTTTATTTATTCATTATTTTCCTAGTGACGTCACAGGTGGTATGCGCGAACTGAACGAAATTGGAGCCGCTATCGATCATACCTTGTATTCTTTGTACCATGAATATATAGCAACTATATGGTTAAATTTATTTATTTATTAACAACTTCATTTATTAATAAATAAATACGAGATAATAAAACTATGATATTATTCGTACATGACACACAAAAACCGTATTGTAAACTATTGCCAAATACATAAAATTATGATATCAAAAAACTCTTTAGCAGTTTTTTTTAAATTAATTTGTAATCTTGTGACACCCTCTATAATTTATTTTAAAAAAATATATTTTATTTTGAAAATAATAAATAAGATAGATATTTTAATTTTAATTTTAACACTCGGTAATTGTAAATTCATATATTAAGTATCTAAGACAATTTTTTAAACTCAGTGCCTTTTGATGGAGTTGTTTTGTTTTTATACTATCCGATTGAAATGAATCTTTTTGGGCATTCACCTGTTAAGCTTGAACTCCCTGTGACTGCGACTACCTGTGTTGGTAACTATTGGTAACTCAAAAGATCTACATCATTCAATATATCGATATTTGAAAAAAAAGTGTAAGTTTGATATCTGCAGAACAAAGGCACGAAGGATTTTAACAAATAATATACATACAGTAGAAAAGTACATACCTTTGGCAATCTTCAACATAATTTGGCTTTCTAATAAAATGTATAAGCATTTGTAAATATTTTGTTTTCGTATGATCTCTGCCTTGCTGAGCAGAAAACGACCAAATTTGGTTGATAAAAATGTATCGAAATACAAAGAATATTCATGCATTTTTTATCAATTGGAATGTCTACTATTTATTCTTATCAGTACACATTTTTTGGCTTATTTCTAACCAAACGCTTTTGTCCCGCTAAATGTATCTTCCAACGCACTGTGCGCTCGTCCGTCAAATGCAAAAATAACTGTCACTGTCTAAAATCTTTAGCGCCAACTTCAACTCGGTCAGTAGATGACGTAAAAAAACTGACAGTGCAGGAAGATAGGAATCGAACTATCCTTATCTCTATAGTATCCTTGCCTCATGGCTACTTTTTTTACTTTTGAGTTTTGACAAGAAGTGTCAGATAAAATGTCACATTATCCATTTGTTAAATAAACAATAAATAACAATTAGTTTAATTGTTATTAATCTATTTTTTGTGGTACTCACTGTGTTAAAGTATTTAAAACAAATATAAACGTCAAAAATGACTTACATATGAACATGTAGAAAATATAGACTATTAATTGGGGTAGAAAAATAATATTCTACGTGTAGAAAATACGGTAAAATATGTAAAATTTTCTATCAACCCAACCCTGCCTATACATATTTTAATGGCAAAGCGATTGGCGATAGTGTAAAATTCGGTAACAGCCCTTAAAGAACCAGTACTACTGGTAGTACTTCTTTAATCTTTATAGATACCTACAGTAATTTCAATAAATGACAAACTTTTATTGATATCCCTATAGACATTTTTAGGCTACTTTACAGTAGTTAAAATTTAGGTTTGGTTTGGTTATTTAAGACATTTTATTTTATTTTTTTCTCTCTGCAAAAGAAAGTAGTGTACCTGTAACAAGCCTCCTGTGTCCTTTTGAGACATTGAATGCAGTGGGTGCAGATGACTGGATTGCTGATTCGAAATTGGCGGTGGTGATAGACTGAGTGAGCCATTTGTAAGGGTTTCTGCTGAAAAAAAGTCTCATTTTACTTAGAGAGTAATAAAAGGAAAAAAAAACAAGAAAATTCAAAATAAAATTTAAAACTAATTATTGATTTCCCAAGCAGTTTTTTTTTTCTTTGCAATAATTATAAATTCTAGACTGTTTCTAGTGTTTTAGGTGTCCAGGTTTCGCATGCATAGGTCATAACTGGTAGTACACATTGATAGAATGTTTTCTTCTTTAGATAAAGTGTGATTCTAGATTCTTTATTCCTGGCTGTATTTAGTTCGTTAATTTGTACTTGTGAGATTCAAGACTATTGGCAATTAGGACTATGTCATCAGCAAATCTTAGATGGTTAAGATATTCTCCATCTATTTATAATCCTTTGTTGGTCCATTCCAGTTGACAGAAGATTTCTTCAAGTATTGCTGTAAACAGCTTTGGGGATATTGTGTCTCCATATCGTACTCCTTTGCCAATTTGTTTGATTATTCTAATAACAATAAACTCTCAAGCATTTTACAGCCTGACTGTTCTACTTTGCCTTAAAAGTACATAATGCATAGGTCTCACATTTGTTAAACACTCAATATAATTACTAAACTAACACAAGTACTCTTTGAAATCTTTAAAAAGATTCTAGCTTGACATACACTGAACAATTCACATTAATTAATGTCTAAATATTTACATAGCAAGTCATTTCACTGGGATATCACAGTCACAGTCAATTAAGCTATTATATACATACACCAAACAAAATATTGCTTCTGTTGAAAAGTAAACTCCGATTTCGCTTCCTTTTATTGATAAAACTTTGTAGGTACATACATAATGATTTTTTTGTCCTAGTCCTGGATTATCTGAACCTGTAACATAGAATTTTACCCTACCTGTGTGTCTGTTCATATCCCTGTTGGTTTTTAATTCCGATTTAACAATAACATACAAAAGGCTCATTTCAAAGTGCTAAAATTAGGTTAAAAATATATCACTCTGAAATTATAATAGTACTGATGCCTGTTTTAACTCCAAACTCTATTATAATCACACTGTTTATAATTATAACGTTCACAGACTTAAAATTAAACAGTTAGAAGCTCTAATTTGCAAACCAAAACAAATCGGCCATGACAGAATCGGTTTCTTATGAAAACTCCCTCCCGAAGAAACGTATTTCTGAATAATTCGCCGTATAAGCACGAGGTGATCCGCACGAACCGACTTCCTTTTCCTAAGCGTCGCACATATGGTCCTGGGCGTTGACCCGAACTACTCCGGAGTAGAATCTAGGCTTCTGGGGTTCGTTCGTTTCCTGATTTTATACCGATCGATGGGGAATTCTAAAGAATGTTTCGCTTCTTACCGTTCATCCAAGCGTTGGTTTGGGACACCGACATGTTCTCCGTGCGTTTGTTCACTGGCTTCGTCGATATTTTCGAGTATAAATTGGACATTGCCATTTCAGGACGGCCTTGGATCGTTTTGCGAGCGAGAGCCGTTCACCGTCGCTCTTTACCGGCCGCCATCTTTGCGATCTTCAATCGTTTGTACGTTAGAGCGTGCGACGGATGGATACCCGGTTATGTATGGAGTTGAAAGTGACGTCAGTTCAGGTCAAAATATATATTTTTTAAATTTAAATAGAAATTAATGTTTGTTTTTGCTAATTCATTATACAGGGTGGTCCGAACTGTATTCCGGAAACTTAGGCCGCGTATTCTGCAGATAAAAATAAGTAAAATAGTTCGTATAAATATGTTCTAAAATGCTTGGTTTCCAAAATACAGGGTGTAGAAGTTTCATTTTTATTTTGATTTTTTCAATTAAATATCTCAAAAACCAAAGATTTTAAACATATTTAACCCTTATAATAAATGCCTTTTTCTGGGTCCAAGAATCCAAAAATGAAATAAAATACCGGGGGTTCCATAAGAAAAAATATAACTTTAATATGGATCTTACTTCTGAAACACCCTGTATATTTCAAAATAATTTTAAAATGTGCATATTGCCTCCCCACATATACCCATAAAATATTTTGTTTTTACATCTTTCCGTTTTCGTATAATCAACCGACGCGAACGAGGTGCGCCATCCTGTAAATAAATACTGAATTATTAGTATTTTAATAAAGCACGCTTTTAGATGTTTCAAAAAACTTTTAATAAGAGTAACTTTAACTCTACATATATGTTTCGGCTTGTTAGGCCTTTTTCAAGAGTTTTTTAAGAACTAATCGTCTAACTACACTGTAACATATATATATTTGCTATGGGGGTGGGTTCAGAGAGTTTACAATATGGGTAATAAAAATGTGTTTAGAAATCCTTGTTGGTCGTTAACATTATTTTCGTTTTTAATAGATTTTAGTATTTCTTAACTGTTCAATGTAATTTAAGCGTCTACCTTTTGTTTCTCTGTGTAGTAACTTAATTGAGTTTTCATTAATTTGTGATTATTTTCTATACAATGAGTTGCAAGATCAGAACTATGCTGGAGATTATTAATAGATTTAATGTCTTTAATCCTTGATCTAAATTTCTACCTTTTTGGCCTATGTACACGGTATCACAATCATTGCAATCCACCCTATATACACCTGACTTATTTTTGACATTAGTTTTGTCTTTTATTATTTAATAAAATTTGACCTAAATTTCTTTTTTATTTACGTTAATAGTTTTACATCCTATTTTATTGAGAGATTATTTGATATTTTTGTTAGTTAAATTAGGAATGTAGTTTAAAAGTCGATAATTGTTATTGTCTTTAGAATTAGCGGAATGAAAATTTTTCATTAATATTTTCTTTGTTTTTTCTTTAGCATATTATCAATAAGGAAACACTTATATCCATTGTTGATGGCGATTTGTTTAATAATATTTAACTCTCTTTTAAAATTCTCTGGGCTCAGTGGAAACATTACTAATCTATGAATTAAACTATGAAAGGGTGACATTTTGATTTGCCAGGATTGGTGTGATTGACTATGTATTACAGTGTCTGTGGTAGTGGGTTTTCTGTAAATATCAAATTGTAATCTATTAGACTGTTTTATAATTGTAACATCAAGAAAATTGATGGCTATTTTCAGTATAACAATGAAATATTTAAACAGAAAGATGGGTTACCGATGGGTTCCCCAATTTCACCGTTATTCGCAGAAATATTTATGGCAGATTTTGAAAAGAAGCTATTTAAAAACAAGAGTAGTTTAATATCAAAAATAAATTATTGGGCAAGATGTAGATACTTTTTGTATTTGGTCAGGCACCGAGAGAAATTTAAACAGTTTAACATTATTAAATTCAATTAACCTGAGAATACAATTTACTATTGAAAAGGTATTAATACCATCAATTTTCTTGATGTTACAATTATAAAACAGTCTAATAGATTACAATTTGATATTTACAGAAAAAAACCCACTACCACAGACACTGTAATACATAGTCAATCACACCAATCCTGGCAAATCAAAATGTCACCCTTCATAGTTTAATTCATAGATTACTAATGTTTCCACTGAGCCCAGAGAATTTTAAAAAAAGAGTTAAATATTATTAAACAAATCGCCATCAACAATGGCTATAAGTGTTCCCTTATTGATAATATGCTAAAGAAAACAAAAAGAAAATATTAATGAAAATTTTTATTCCGCTAATTCAAAAAGACAATAATAATTATCGACTTTTAAACTATATTCTAATTTAACTAACAAAATATCAAATAATCTCAATAAAATAGGATGTAAAACTATTAACGTAAATAAAAGAAATCAGTCAAATTTTATTAAATAATAAAGACAAAACTAATGTCAAAATAAGTCGGGTGTATATAGGGTGGATTGCAATCATTGTGATGCTGTGTACATAATAAACAGGTAAAAATTTAGATATAAGGATTAAAGAACATGTAAAGTCTATTAATAAACTCCAGCATAGTTCTGGTCTTGCAACTCATTGTATAGTAAATAATCACAAAATTAATGAAACCTCAATTAATTACACAGAGAAACAAAAGGTAGACGCTTAATTACATTGAACAGTTAGGAATACTAAAATCTGTTAAAAAACGAAAATAATGTTAACAATCAACAATGATTTCTAAACACATTTTTTTATTCTCCCCTATTGTAAACTCTCTGAACCCACCCCTATTAGCAATATATATATATATATATATATATATATATATATATATATATATATATATATATATATATATATATATATACATATATATATATATATATAGTTACAGTGTAGTTAGACGATTAGTTCTTAAAATCCTGAAAAAGCTCTAACAAGCTGAAACATATATGTAGAGTTAAAGTTACTCTTATTAAAAAGTTTTTGAAAAAAAAAAAAAAAAAATATTAAAATACTAATATTTCAACGATGTTTCACAAGGAACCAACCACAGCTTCAGTACAATTTATTAAATACTGAATATTTGACTTTTTCTGTAAAAAAACAGGAATTGTTTATTTTCTTTAGCTCTATGGACTGACGTCAAATAATGCACCATATTGACACATATAAACACGTATCTCTTCGTTCTCATAGTCTACACTCCCGGGACTCATCAAAATTGCGGGCTTGCCAGATCGTGTAAAATTTACAGAAATTTCGTGAATTTATTGAATTTTTATTACGCCACGTTGCCAAACTGACTCGTATTTCTTATAACTAAAGAAATTATTCATTTTTTGTAACGTAAATAAATTTAAAATTAATGTATTCACTCTTACCGCTGTTGGTACACAGTTTGAACGATTTTTAATAAAACTTTTTGTAGAAAAATGTAATAATAATATGTCTTTCAATGAAAGCAGCGTATGTATACTGCTTGGAAACAAAATTATAACTAGTTTCGCAATGCTTTTTTTGGTGTCCAGCCTTTTATGAGGCGCTGTCGTCACATCAATTGTTTTAAATTTTAAATTGGTAATTGTTCTCATAACTCTATGAACTTATAACTTTTTATTTATAGCAAAGAACGTATGAATTACAAAATTTTATCGTAAAAATTTATATAATTTTATCAAATAGGTACTTCTAAATAATATTTTAAAGTGTTTTAATAAATGAATTAAATTGAAAAGTATGTATTAATATCTGAGTGAGGTCAGGTTTTGGCCCACGACGCGATGTTGTCAAACTTCATTTCCTCTTTAATTATTAAATTATTAGTTTGTTTTTATGGAAAGTTTTTGTTTTTTTATGTATACCACAATACTAATGATGGGCAAAAATGTTTTTATTTTTGATTTAATATAGATTTTGTGTTATGTATCGTATCATCGAAAAATAAACGGCGTCAAAGACAGAAACAAATGGAGAAGGATAACCAATCAAGCCATGAACCTTTTAGGGTTTTAGAGCTATTATAATATATATTATTTACATTATTTTGTGTGGGTTGTTACCTGATGTAGTTGTTCCTCTTAAATACTCTGTGAGTTCTTCTAAACCCGTCTGTTGTTGTTCTGGGTCTTCCAGCGTGAATATTTCGTCTAAAATGGACACGTCCGATTGGATCTGGGTATAGGTTTGATCCCTGTTGGCTTTGTGAGCAAAATGGTACAGCATATACCTAGAATTGATCATATAAATTAATATACCGGGTACACCCTATAACTTTTTTATTTTTTCAGATAAAAAAACGAGATTTGGTATGTTAATATATTTATGGTATAAATTAGGATTGATTGAAGTATTCAAAATTGTTTTCAGTCACTTCCTGTTTCACCGGAAATGACTACAAGTTTTTGGAGGCTGCACTCTCAGCTCTCAGTCAGTGCCTTCTATTGAAAGATCAGCCTACGGGCGAGATTTATGACGTCACGCTAGTTAGATATAACGGATTAATAAATATGTTGTAGAATACATGGAAAACATAATTATTCCTCAGATTTTTGGTTTGTATTTTAAAAATGATATAGTTTACATGAAATATACATAATATTACAGTTAATAACTACAACATATATACCTATTTATAGCATAGTAATAAATACTTTGGCAAATAAACTATGAACCATACAAATGCAGCAAATGTTTTACAATGTACAAATAATGTATAGGTACATAAGATAATGGGTAAAATGTAAACATATTTTAAATTTCGGGGTTTGAAAATCGATCTGATTTAACAAAAAACATTCAATATGTCTACTAATAGTGATGTATTATTATTTGCATTCACAAAATTCTATATGTATATTTTGGTAAGTATCAATGTTCGGAAAATTATATTTACAAATAATACAATATTAGCTGGTGCTATGTCAGCGATGGCTATGAAAATGAAGATCGCTGGCATTTTATAAAATTATTCTAAAATTTTTTTTTTTAAATTTTTATTTATAAACGTTTTTTTTTTTTTTTTTTTTTTTTTAAAAATATGAGAAAAATAGAGTCGAATATAATCCA